AGGAATGCTGGCAAACGGTTGATCGTAATCCAGATTCCATCGTTCATTATCGAGTCGGCTCAACCGATAAGAAGCTTTGTCCAACGTACAACCGACTGTTTGTGACATCTATCGACACCTAGATTCAAGGAATTATCGTGTTGTGTGCTATGGATGACTATTACGGGGATATAAAGGGGACAACTCTGAGACTGACAGCTAAATCGTCCCTGTGCTTCGGGCTAAATGACTCTCGACGGACGTGCTCGTCTGGCGTAAATAATTGTCACGCTGCAAAAAGCGCGAACGAACGAAGCTGCTGCCCTCTGTAGGGTTTGATGCGACTACAAATACATCTATTGGTCTTTTTTGTGAAATTACCCATGGGGATACCATCTGCATTTTCTTTTGAATGTTTTTAGTTACGTTCATATATTGGCTAGCGTATTTAATAAAGTGCAAATATGCGCTTACTTCGTTTTTAATGATGTGGTAAATGTATATACAAGTAATAAAAATGGTTTGGTTCAATGACTAGAAGTAAGGACATCTGTGTTTGTTAATAAGAAGCTTCGACAATCGAGGAAAATCAATCCTGATCGATAATAAATTGTGGATCCCAGTGAAGTACTAATCCTTTTGGTTACTTCATTCTTCTGCGTAAATAAAATCGCAATTTTAACAAGATCAGTAAAATGCTAATTAAGAAAACGACATGGACAAGTAGAAATGAATTTGATCACTTCGTACACGTGTTCAGCAGTGTTTGAACACTGAGGTTGAAATGCAGATATCCGTTTCTAGACTTATAAATACAATACATTATTCATGATTCTTGTAGATAACTCGCTTAGTATTCATGGACAGTCGGTAACATCGGTTTCAATGACTCTATAGTTTAATACTTTGGTCGAAACAAAATCACGTAAGTGACCTCGAACAGCAAGAAAGCTTCAACAAGCTTCAACCTATTTTCATACTTTCAGCCTATCGTTTCAATAAGATTAACCATCCGCAAAAACAGCCTACATATTAAGTTAATCAAACGAGAAAGACTTCTACCTATCCCAATTTCTAAATATAACTGACTCTCTACACCTATAATTAAGCATTTAACAATGCTAAACACCTGTGTCACAAATAGTTTATCTTATCTCCTTATTTTCGTCCTGCCACTTGAACAATAGCCAACCAATAATCTAAATATTTGGTGCACCTGAAACTATAAAAAAGGAGCTTAACAAACCAACCTCAAATCTCAATCATAATAACGATCTTGAACCTTAAAATCGTTCTCAGCCATTTTAAACTCCTTAACAAACCTCAACTGATCCTCACTATAACCCTCAAATAAAACCAACTATTAACATCAACACCTACTATACATCTACCCACCCACTTACTCGAACGATCTTTACCTGTCGATCGCATTCAAGGCACGCAAAGTGCCTCATATGCCACGCCCTCCCCTCCGCCTCGGTGCACTCGTCGGCGAGTATGATCTCGTCGCAGGCACAGCACCTCGGCTTCAGTGTTTCTGCATGATGCCGACCGCAGTATAGCCTGCCGTCCCTCCAGAAGTATATCAGGTCAACAAGCAGCTGTCTACACACGCAGCAGACGAAGCAGGCCGGATGCCAGAGGGCGGATGGACCGGCACGGCTCGCAGCCACCGCCATCTCGCCGGCCGCGATCGGCCTGCTACACTCGCGGCATCCGGCGCCGTGGGGCCTGTCCAGCTGGCTCGCGTGTCCCCGTCCGAGCGCTTCGCGTTTCCGCTGCGCGGCGAATACCCTAAGTTCCCGCTTCTCTTCTTCGGTCAGCCCGCTGCAATACCGTGCCTCGTTGTCGTGCGGTGGGAGTTGCTGTAGCAGCTGCTTTACCCGCTCCCGTTCGCCGGCGCTGCCTGCGTACGGGATCTTGTCTTCCGGTAGCGCGCTGAAGTACAGGTGTACCTACGACGTACGAACAAGGGAATGGTAATTAACAGCAATTGGAAATGCCGTGTGTGAGATATCGGAATTTTTGGGGTCCTCTAAATACAGTTTTCGATTTAATGAGTTTTGGGGGTGGAAAGATTTTATGAGAGAACGTGAAAAATGGAGAAAAGGTGAATTTGATAACTAAATGCACTAGTGACTGAAGTTTGAGTATGGTTTGTTAATACAACGCTGCGTATGTGACTCTTATACGTTCTTCAGACGATAATGTAGAAATTGCGTATTGGTAATTTTTAAGAATACGAGGGGGAATTAATTTGCAAGACGAATGAAGAAATTTGTTGAGGGAAATGTCAATTTTGATTATTATTTTTATAATTGCTTAAAAAAATTGTTATACCCCTACTCTAATTCAATACCACTAATTTATACCATTGGTCGAAACTTCGTATATGATGAATACTAGCACGACTGACTAATGCGCCTGCGCGATTCATCGACGAGGTTAGCTTTCTTTCCGACTACGCGATCGAAGGCGATCAATCGATCGTCTTTTAAGAAATGCTTTCGGGAACGCTTTTGGATCGACAAGAACACGATACACATTGTCTTGTTAGATGGGATACCGAATGTCTTTGATTTCTTTGACAGTGAATTTGATAAAGATATCTGCGTCCAAATAACTTCAATGATTGCTGCAGGAATTCGATGTATCTACTGCGACAATAAAGAAAGATCATAACACGGAAAGTATTGGATTATGAAGATACCGACTGTGAGAAAAAAGTAAGATAAATATTCAAACTGTACCTGTAAATTTGTAGTGAAGGAGGCGGCGAGTTTACGAGATAAATCTAAGAGGTTAAAAGGTTTATATATAGATCATCACGATACTCGATATTCATCATTCATGAATAATTCAGAAATGTAATGCTTACAGTTACACGAGACGCGTGATGGACTCCTACCTTGAACAAAACAAAGGTGTTTTACTTCGTTTACGGGATCGACGTTTAACCCGAATTATCTTCTGCTTATATTCGGATCAGTTTTCGCCTTTTTTATTGTGCGAGTGATTAAGCACAGACAAAAGGGAAAAGAGAGAAAAGGATAAAAACAAGCAAAAACTTAAGATTAATAACATAACCTCAAAAGGTTAAACTTAACATTTTCGATATGAAATAATACATAGGGTGAATTATTTATTTTTGTCATATGAAATTATTTGTAAACTGTATACTACACGAAGAAATGTTTCAGATAAATGTTATTTACTATCAGTGAAGACTTATAATTTCGAATTGAGAAAAGATTTAAAGAATTAAAAGATTGGACAATTCACAAAATTGTTAGTGTCCAAAATTCTGGATAACTCGAGTGTCGTCTTTGTAACTGTCCTGATAAATCTCACAGGGAGAAAGTTAACCTTTATGTAAATTTGAGTCACCACGTACGGCATAGTGTATCGAGACGCGCCCACGTGGCTTTTGTTAAGTCCCGTAAATCTCGGACCTTTCGTAACATACAAATCTTGTAGTAATTTCTTCTATGTTCTTTTATTTCGTGAACATAAACTCCTTGTCATAATGAATATGTGAAACGAGTGTCGTATTTAGTATTGCTTTCGTGTTTGAATCCACTTGAAGAAAAATTTAAAAAATAACTATTTTAAGAGTTTTCATTTTTTAACTTATTGTTTAACTTATTGTTTTAATTTTTATTGAAGTAAAAACTTCATTAATTTTCGTTACACCATTTTGATTACAATTATATATGCACACTATATTTTGATAGATATTACACTTAAGCGTTAATACCATTACCGATTTTTAGTGTTATTAGTATTAGTGATATTTCTAATTATCTAAGTATTATTAAGTAATCTACTTAACTCCATTTTTCAAATTTAATAGGAAGAAGAAAAGAGAATTGTACTCATGCAAAATATACATGTTCAATAAATGAGAAATGAATCTGGAGAAAACACAAGGATAAAATTAAAGGACCATTGGTACATCGGTATTCAAGGCGTGTCAAATGAGATATTCTCTTACTTGATCTGGCCTAAGGCCGGGTGGAACCCACGTGTATTCTTCGAGCGCGCATCCGCTGTCATCGTCGCTCTGTGAATGCCTCTGATGATGCATCAGGGCCTCCTGAAGGGCGAGGCCTGGTGGAGCCGGTTGCACGGGACTCTTGAAGGGTTCCTGGTGAGAAGAACCGGCGGCCCCGCTTTGGAAAGCCATGGCCATGGCCATCGGTGGACCAGGACCGAGGCCGAGTCCCGAGGGACCGCCCGCCTCCGTCGAGGTTCGCTGATGCTCCTCCCTGGGACACCTGCAGCTTCTGCACACCTTCCTGAAACCAGAATTGAGAACTCTCGGTTAGAATAACTCCATATGGAGATAACGAGGTCATTGGTCTTTTTCGTGTTTTGTGCAAGTTTTAGTTTTGCAAATGCTCCCTATAGTTCTCTATCTTTACTTATTAAGTTATTCAGTTCAAAATATTTTACTTTAAGACTTCAGAAACTATAATAAGCTTCATTCCTGATAGATATTTCATATTAAGTTTTATATTTATAATTTATAATTTATTTAATATTTGGTATATATTCATCATAGTAAATTTACTGAATTAAATTTAGTTTTGTTTTAACTCTATGGGCTCTATATTAGCTGTATAAAATTTAAGAAGTTTTTTATTTGTTGGAGACAGTTTTACTATAGATATACATATAACACTAACATATATAAATCTGTAATCTCGCATCGGCGATTAAATACTTAATATATGTTATGGGTAGATTATAGAATAAATAATATATCAATATTTTCTTCACATATAGTTAATCAATGTGCATAAAATATTGTGAAATTAGAATAATCTAATTGATTTTGGGATATTTAAGAACTTTCAATTGAAGAAATATGTAACAATGTAATAAAGTAATGCTCTAATTAGTATAATTATTACAATACTGCATAAAAATTAAATTTATGTTAGAGGATAAAGATAACAACACATTTTTGGTAAGTGAAGATATAAAAAGTCTGCAAGCAATCATTTTGAATTGTTTGATAACTGTTTGATAGTTAGGTTTCAAAATAACTATATAAAAAATCCTAATAATTAAATACTTATTAATACTTGAGGTGCTAATAGATAAAAAATTTGCTTGCCTTAGAATCAATGTATAAATTACCACATTTTTTACATACAACATTGCAATGAAGAAGTAATGTTAGTACAACACAGGTTGCATATAAACGCAGTAGCGTTCCAAGAAGAAATTCTTTTCCCACAGGAAGCGATAAATTCACTTCCCATCAATTCGAAGAAACGGAAGAACCTCGATTGCTTCACAAACCCGTCAATTTCGATAAAAAAAAGTACGTAATTAAATAGTAAATTAATGTACCCCTCAATTTCTAGCAAAAGAGAGAAAAAAAAACTAAATGTAATCAAAAATAAAATTGTCGAACATAAGTAAAGCCTTTAATTTTCTCCCCCCAAAAATATAATTATACAGAAAAAGAAAATCCTTTAATTTTCTACCAAAAGTAATTTACAATTAACCTCTAACAATTTCAATCTGAAATGAATCAATAACTTATCTCGATCTTAATCTAAAAATGTCAAACACGCATATGCACACATGTAAAAATTAATTAATTTTTTCCAATAATAAAAACATAATATGACGATTCACCTTTAAATCAAAAAGCATGCATGTTACAATTCAGCGGTTAGTTTATCATTAAGGTGCTTGGTATGAGTCTCATAGCGCGACAAGAAACCCTATTTGCATGAAAGACGATGAATTGGCAGCGAGTGGTAGGCCTGATTACACGGTAACCAGCGGCAAAGCATCTGTTCCCATCGGAACCCCATATAGCTTTCAGATTGCAAGACCTGAACCTGCCTGTTGTAATTTAAAAATCGATGTATGCGTCGTATAACTGTATGGAACAGAGTGAACGAAGGAATTCAATTTTCAACGGGAAAGTACGAATTTAGTTCCGAAGATTAGTCTAATTACGTACAAGGAAGACAGTACTTTGGTGTTATGGTTAATGAAATATCGAAGATGCTAATTTCATCTCTTTTTAAGAGATTTGTTTTCTTCTTATACATTAGTTAATTTTTAGTTTTGTGGCATGAAATCAAGTTCACGGATAAAGGTCTAATATTGAGGATTGAAAGAAGTTGAATTTGAAATCTGATTTCGAATCTTTTAATTTCAAGATTAATCCCGACTTTAAAACTGTCCTTATTTTAATCCTGACCTTAAATGTTTTAACCTTATTCATAAACCTAACCTCAAATATGGTGAGTCAATTTTTCGACAAAACCTTAGCTGTGATTCAACTCAAACTTTTATTCAAACTTTAATTCTAACCTTATTTTGCAGTACCTAAGATCAACGAGTTTTCAATAAATATCTAGGCAAATACTGACAAATTAGAGATAAAAGTACATGTAATGATTTCATTTAAGAAAGTATACTATTTGTAATCTCAATTAATATAATCAATACGAACATTCATAAGTATCAAAATCTATGGAATCGTTTTGTTATTTGAAAAGTTATTTTATTTTAGTTTAGTATCTTTTAAACTGATATTAACTGTTTTCCTAAATAGGTACAAAAATTGTCACAAATAGCAGTGATACCCCGCAAAAAGGTAAATTATAAACTATGGCTTTTAATCATTAGTTTGTCATTAATTTATACATATTTGATAAGAGTTATGTATTGTTATTATAAATTAATCACACTATCCGAATACTTAATGCGATGAACCACTGATAATTACTCATAAATATTAACTTAAGATTATTCAAAAGAAATATTTACTCAAAATTATTTCTCCCAGGGAATGCAAAATTGTACTATCCACTAAACCACTGAAATCAATAGTAATCAACATGACACGAAACACTTTTCAAACGTTTTCTACACACTCTCTATCCTCGAGGGATTTGACTGGTTGCCCAAAAGACAAGATTACTATAACAACACGCATATCGCAAGCAAGCCACCGGCCGAAAAACTTTCCCTTGAACAGGTCGATCAGCGAAATGAGATCAACTCACTCTGCAGAGGCGGCGACATCGTAACCCGAATGCAGGGAGCTGCAATCGGCTACCACCGGCTCCCCTGTTATCTTGCGCTCGTTTTCGAACGCCACGACATCGTGAGTGCCATTCAGGTATTCGACACATTTCTCCGTAGGGCTAGCCCTCGTCGTAGACAGAGCTGGACATCCGACCACAACTCCAACCACATCATCCTCCTCGTTTCCGTCCTCACGATTCCTCAAAAAGGCGTCCAAATAATGTTCATCGGTGGAAGGTAATTCGTAGACCGTACCAGGGGCCCAGTTACTTGGCAAATCCCGTCGATTAGTGGATACATCCTCGATCTTGCTAACCTGATCATTCTTTCTAGCATACAGTTTACGAAGATATGCTTCCTGGTGGCTCCTGGTAGCCCAGCAGCCACCTTGCCACCATCTTTTCGAACCAAGGACCGATGTCTTCCGTCTCCTCGCTAGACTTGACATAGCTCTCTTTTAGCGGGGAGGCATTAATCCATGTAATTATGTCATTTGAATAGATATGATTTTAAAAGAATGTTCACTCTATAGTTTGTCTATAGTTATCCTCATTTTTTTGCATTTAGATGAGGCTCATCATGATAAAGTATCACTTGATCTAGTGATACCGCGTAAATCGTCAGTTGTTCACGTCCTGCCTTCAGTTCTGACAGGATCATGTTTTCAATGCCAAGACGGACGGGCCAGATGCTAAAACTTCGTGATTCCGTGCATGTCATCATTGTTCCAATACTCCATTAAGATCCAGAAACGATTACTTTTTCTCTTACTTTTCCGGTACACCATTTATTCAACATTTCAATAATTCTGCGAAAAACAAAGGCGAAAGGGAAGTATCGGTATCCAGCTGACGGTATACCATGTTTTTTTCGGTTTCTCGGGTTGGCACGCGCTGCTGAAACACCAAGAGGACTTTCCAGGACGCGACAAGGACGAACGGGAGGGACAGGGATAACAGAGAAAGCGAGCGCCTCAAGGAAGGAAGGAGGAAAGAAAGGTAGTAGCCAGTGAAAGAAAGAGGAGAGACAAAGATGCAGCGAGGAAGGAGTAACAGAGAGAAGTAAAATGTGCAGAATGGGAAGAAAGACAGAGAAGGGAGAGGGAGAGGCAATCTGTACGTATAACCGGTAGTACAGCCGGGGATTAACGTTTTAATACGCGGCACCGTGGCCGAACGTACAAAGGGAATCAGGAGAACGATAACGTTTCACACGGACCCTCGAATCGATTACTATATCGATCAGCCACCTCCCTTCGTCGCCTGAGATTCAAGCAGCGAACTCTGTTAAGTATCAATTTCCGATTGCTGTTCGCTCTGTTCGTCCTCTCCAGTGGATCGAATTCGATTCACGTCGAAACCTTGACACGCGACGTGTCAGTCGATTCCGGGACTAACCTGATGGAGTGAAATCATGAATACTTTCATCCTGTCAATCACATATCCGTACAACCACCGATGAATCTTTAAAACGGCACTCACTGACCGCCACTTTATCACGGTACCATAAAAACGGGATATCAGTGATTAACTGTCAGACATGATCACCAGAATATCTTCTGCATTCACTTGATTTAGTTGATTATCATTGAAGCACACAAAACTCGCGAACATATTAAGAAAGATATTAGCAAGTGGGTTCACGCGGTTAATTGGCGGTAGTATCGTGGCCGGTCCACGGATGCGTTAAAAAGTTTCTAGAAGTGGCGTCTTGTCCTTCCTACTCTGGCGTGCTGAGGCCGAGCGGACACTGAGCGTGTTCTGGGGCCGCTCGGCTGTTGGAGAAGCGCGGGGTAAAGGCGGCTGCCTGGCTGGAAAACCGCTTTAGGGGAGGGAGAACGAGGGCCCGTTCTCGAACTTGGAGTGCTACGCCGCTGCATGTAGCTTCCACGCCGCCAATACGCAGTCGCCTACCCCCACTACCACAGCGCGGGCCCTGCTGAGCTTCCCGATATATTTATATTCGTTTCTAATATGTGTGGCGTGTCGGGGCCCGACGCCTTGCCAAGAGACCCCGTTTAAGTACGCGCGCACGCTCCAGTCATGTCGGTCCGGCATCGTTCCACGAGGGCCTGTGCGTGCTGCAACCATAACCGCACCCCGAGGCCACCTTCTGCTGCGAGGCAATCGCTTCCAATAGATTCACCCGTGTGGACATCCTTGAGGAACACGGGGACGTTTGTTAAGAAAAACTGAGGACAATTTTTATTGGTCTGAGTTACATTAAATTTGAAAAATTGATTGCGTGAATTTGAAGAGATTTTTTGACGACAAGATAAATAATTGAATTGTTAGCTTCCTTGTCTTCCTTTCAAATATTAATGTCATTTAAAAATTTTGTTTAAACAAAGTACACATATTTATATTTGACTTAACATGTGAAGTTCTTTTCAGTTTAACGCGATGAATAATAGTTGATGTATTTTAATTGAATTTCAGTGGTGAAATGTTTTCGCATTAGCATTATGTCAAAATTTAGGTTCGGTTTCTGACATAATCTCTCGATATACTTGAACGTTGGACGTGACGGTTACGTTAAAATATAAGTTAGGTTCTTGAAGTCTGTGTAGATAGGATACATTTTAATGTATATAACAAATTCTCAGCTCAATGATGGATGTTTGAAATTTAAAAAATTGAAATTTCTTCTTAATATGTCTCTTTTTAAGATATTAGTGTAAAAAGTATTTCTTTGTTATCAGTTTAATCTTTCTAAATTTCAGGACTTCCGCCGCAAACGATATATATTTGATATTTCGTAATACTATTCTGTTTCATGACAGAAAGAATAATCTGAATTTATCTACGACGATTTCAGCACCAACAACAACACGCAAACTGGACTGCAAGAGCAAATGTAGCCCGTCGTTGGCGATGTCCCGCAGGCTCACAAATTGCAAATGTTCATCGTAATGACGCTGCCGTTTTTCTAGAGTACATCCACTTGATGCCTTAGCCTTGCTCAAGAAACGCAGTAATGGTTCTTGCCTGATCGTTAACCGACTGGTTCACTTGGAAATGCGATATTAATTGGTTATTAATCGACCATTAACCACATGGTCTCGATAAAGATAGAACATACTAGTTCGTATATCAGTGATTGTTTTATTCGATCTTTTATTACGTTCAAACTAACGCACAAGTATGAATTCATTAGCATGGCGTAGTGTAAAATTATTGATTAATTATCAATTAAACATCAGTCAAAGAATAGGTATGAAGAAACTTCTTATTTCAAATTTCTTTATGGTCTACGTTTAAGCTCACATTTAATATATGTAAATTAATTATTAACAGATATGGTTCTTATCAGCAGTTAAGTAAAAAAAATTGACAAATTAATGGAGGCCTGATACTCGTTGTTCACCTTCAAACATCAAACTGTAACTCCATCTGAAATTTAATGAAGTCTCAATAGACTCGTTTCAGAAAGATCTCAAAGTTAATGGCAATTTATTACCTGAACACGTATTTCAAATACCGGAGCGGCCTACTCAAAAAACACGATCCCAATTAACAGTTAATTAACCAAGTTACCAAAGTATAATCAGTTCCAGCAAGTTTTAAATTTACCAGGAAACGTAACACGATTACCTTCGTACATTCAGATAATTTATTCAAAAGCGTTTTTGCCAATTAAAGTAAATTAATCAATTATTGAGATACGGATCCCTCTAAACTGGCAGGAGTATAAATGATACTAAACTGATCCAATTCTGCATGCTTCATTGGTCAGTGGTCAGTGATCAGTGGTCAGGAAATTCTTACGTAACCCAAGTGGAACGATCCCTTTTCCGGAATCGATACCAGGATCGTCCCTAATGACACGAACTATCCGCTGCCAATGAAACTTAAATCGCTTAATCATCGTTACTGTATTCTTCAACATTCCACCGTCCTCCATTTCATCCAATGCCAAGTCACAAATTAGCAGAAACTTCTAGTTTCTTTCTTTTCCCTTCATTTTACCAAAGTATATGTGGACGACTTTTCAGGTAGATTCTAGGAATAGAGGTCTGATAATAATACCACAGATTAACTATGAATTATCCTCGGGTCAATTAAGTTACATGTTTGGGTTTATTTTTCCACCAAACGTTTGCTTTTGGCACGATGATATTTGCCGATGTACCAGCAAACGTGAACCAACGTGAATTTATAATTATAGAGAAGATGAAATAGTAAGAAAATAATTTTTTATAAGATAAGGTGTTGAAATGTCAGAGATTGTTCCGAGGTTAGAACATAGCTATATAATCTTGAGTGTTCGTGGGTATTCGCGAGTACTCGGTTACCCCCACTGTGCTTCCGTTGCTGTAGGACTGACTCAGCGTTCAACCAATAGACACGGAGGTTTCATCTCTTCCCACTTCGTAGTTAGTGCGCGATAGAAACGGTGGGAACGAGGATTGCACGCAATGAGGGTCTCGATTTGAAATTTATTTCTTGTGGCTATAGAGTTAAAAATTCATAACACGTTTTCCAATATTCCATAAACAATTTCGCTGTATCCAATGAAAACAGAATTAGAAGGACAAAAATGTATCAGCAATTTATTTGTCTTTCATAGACAACCATAACTTTTCTCAATTTCTTCATTTCCTTCTTATTACAAATAAATTACCTACTTTTTATCGTTAATATAATTTTGTCATGAATCAAAATTTCAAATGAACTGGACGGATAAATTTTCGCTCATTGCCCAACAATTAAGTAGAGATCCACCACTTGCAGTTATAGTTCCTTATTTACGACGATCATGCTGCTTACCCTTCTTGTGTTAGGGTTAAAACAGATGCATAAACATAAAGCTACGGCTAGAATGCACTGTTAATAACCAGCAGCGAGTACTCACGTTGCTTCCTTTAGGTTATGCATACACCAAAGCTCGCAATGGTGTCTGGAGGACGACTAAACGAGATGACCAATCTTCTAGAACAATTTTCAACATTTAGCATTAGGTTCTGCTACCAAGAAAGGCAAACTGAATCAAGATGATACATTTTCAAATGTTTAAAAATTACTGTTCTTCCTTAAGAAGAATTTCTTTGATTACAAATGAGTTCAAATTTCTTTCACACCGAGAGCAATATTTTGCATGTAGCAAAAGGTATATTGAAAGTATAAGTATCTTAGACTACTAACAAAAGTTCGTATACTCACTATATATTGTTTTATATTTATCTATAATTAACCGCATTTTACGTTAATAACAGTTACTATGCACTACCTGGTGTTCAAGAATTTGAACTTAGCGCCATCTAAACTTCTATAATTCCACTCGCTCAACGAAGCCGTAACTATAGCAAACTTCATTTTCTCTTCGATTTTTATCTTATAAAATGCGACCGCGATTTATCGATATTCCTTCCTGCGCAAGGAGCTCCATAAGGGTGTATGCCTTGAATGATCTTCATTGGATCGAAGATCATGGGTATTTTGGCAGAAATATCGATGGAGGTCCGT